AGTACTTAGCACTTTGCAAAAGACTTGCACCAGAAGCCAAAGGACATGGCTAGACCAGTAGCCCAAGGTCGTGTGTATCACCTTAATGAACTTGGTTTCCTCACCACTCCTGTCCTTATCTAGGGTATGCTTTTTATCTATGATATTTCTACCAGAGCTCTAATGATACAAGTGTTACCCACTCTTTCATTTCTTGTTCATTTGCTAGTAAATTAAATATTAGGCCTGAACCTTTAGATGAAGTGTTAGAAGTAGAAACTCCCGCTAGGAATTTATTAGAAGCTCATTATGTGTATGAAAATTATAAAATAAAAGTTTCAGGAGTAGAACTATTAATGGATCTAATACTCTTAGATTTTTTAGGATTTGATGTTATTTTAGGGATGGATTGGTTAGAAAAATATTAGGCAATCATTAACTACAAAAGTAAAATTATAACCTTGCGATCACCAAAAATGAAATAAAATCTAGTTTTACTATTATCTAGCCTCTAAATAAATAAGAATATGGATGTTGATCCCGTTGTATGCACCATTCCTACTATTTGTAACTTTCTGAAAGTCTTTTTGGAAGATCTACCTAGTCTATCTCCCCCACGGGAGATAGAATTTTCTATTGACTTGCTTCCTGGCACACAACCTATCTCAAAACCTGTCTATCACATGAGTCGTATTGAGCACATAAAATTAGAAGACCAAATTTTTGAACTTCTTGGTTAAAAATTCATCTGCCTTAGTTGTTCCCCTTGGGGAGCCCCAATATTATTTGTGAAAAAGAAGGACGGCTCCCTCTCATTGTGCATAGATTACAGAGAACTCAACTGGGTAATAATGAAAAATAAGTATCCTTTACCTCGTATCGATGACCTCTTCGATCAGTTGTAAGGAGGTATGGTCTTCTCAAAATCGATTTCAGATCAAGATACTACTAATTGGGGGTCAAAGAAGAAGATATTCCGAAAATCACCTTCCGATGCCGATACGTTCTGTATGATTTCAAGGTTATGCATTTTAGACTAATTAATGCCCCTGCCACTTTTATGGATCTTATGAACATGATTTTTGGGCATGCACTAGATTAATACGTCATCGTGTTCATCAATGACATCCTGGTGTATTCTAAGAGCCTAGAAGAACATGCAATCCATTTGTCTTGGGTATTCGAGACCCTTCATCGGAACTATATGTATGCTAAGTTTAGCAAATGATCTTTTTTATTGGATTGAGTCTCCTTCCTTAGCCATGTAATTTCGGACAAAAGAGTTTCTATAGATCCATCCAAAGTCGAAACAGTGAATAACTAAAACCCACCAAATAATGTTGCTGATATACATAGTTTTCTTGGTTTGGCAGGTTATTACCGGTGATTCATCGGGTTCTCCAAGATTGCTGCTCCATTGATCGATCTCACCCAGAAAGGTGTACCTTTTTTTCAGGAATATGAACGTGGTGAAAGTTTTGTTGAATTGAAGTATCATCTCACCTCTGCTTTGGTATTGATCCTCCTCAACAAGACTAGAAGATTTCAGGTTTACTATGATGCATCTCACGTATGTTTGAGTTATGTTTTGATTCAGTACAGTCAGGTGGTTGCTTATGGATCTAGACAATGAAAGTCCCATGAGCGCAACTACCCTACTCACTACTTGGAGTTGGCGGTCATATTCTTTTCCCTGAATATATGGTGCCATTATTTGTACAATCAGACATTTAAAATTTACACTAACCACAAAAATTTTAAAAATATATTTTTACAGAGGAAATTGAACATGAGATAGAGACATTGGTTGGACCTCTTGAAAGACTACGACTACAAAATCATTTACCCCCTAGTAGAGGTAATGTAGTCATAGATGCATTAAACCGGGAGGAGTCTGCTTTGTTGGCCCAAACCATGACCTCCAATTGGAAATTAGTTGATGTTATGTAGGCACTCCGCCTTAACCACTGTGGTAATGGTGCCTATCTTGTACAAATCCGAGTTTTGCCTCATATTTTCATTAAGATTTAGGAATCTCAGTTTACCGACCCAGAAATAACAAAAAATTTGAGTAAGTTTACTTCTGACGAGTTTTCTGATTTTAGACTCACAGATGAGGGATTGTTCAGATTTTGGGATTGTATTCGGGTCTCAGTCGTTATTAAGACGAATCTTCTCAAGGCTGCCCATGCCTTCAAACTATCCATCCACCCCGGGAGTACCAAGATGTATTGGGACTCTAAAATGTCAATATTTGTGGCATGGAATGAAGAAGAACATTGTCAACTATGTCTCTTGATGTCGTTCTTGCCAATGAGTTAAGGCAGAATACTAGAGACCCAGTAGTTTGTTACAAGGCCTCCTTATTCCGAAATGGAAGTGGGAGTATATAACCATGGACTTTATCACTGGTCTGCCCAGGACCTATTCCGGTTGCAATGCAATAAGGGTCATTGTTGATAGCTTGACCAAGACTGCCCACTTCTTACCTATCAGAACTATATATTCCACTAGTAGATTAGCCAACTTGTTCGTCAATAAAATTGTTCAACTCCACGGCATCCCCTCATCTATTGTGTCTTATCGAGATTCTTAGTTTACCTCCCATTTTTAGGACAGCTTTCAAGAAACACTTGGTTCGAGATCGCTCTTTAGCACTGCTTATCATCTCCAGACCGATGGCCACTTTGAACGTATTATCCAGACACTGGAAGACATGTTGTGCGCTTGCGTCCTCAAATTTGGTAATAACTAGTATGAGTATCTTCGCTTGTGTGAATTTACTTACAATAACAATTATCATTCCAGCATTGGTATGGATTTGTATGAAGCCCTATACATTAGGCCCTGTTGTTCTCCCACTTATTGGAATGAAGTTAGGAACCAGCATCGTTTAAGATCTAATTACATCTAAGAGACTATTGAGAAACTTGCTATCATTTGAAGGAACTTAGCCATTGCCCAGAGTCGTCAGAAAAGTTATGCTAACAATCGTAGAAGACCCTTGGAATTTGATGTCGACGATCAAATCATCTTTAAGATCTTCTTACAAGGGAAAAATGTTATTCAATAAGAAAGAAAAGTTGAGTTCCCGTTATCTGGTACCTTTTTCAAATTGTGAAACGTGTTGGACTCGTGGTGTACCATCTTGCTCTATCTTGAGAGTTTGCGGGTCTTCATGATATTTTTCATGTCTCCATGCTCAAAAAGTACCACCCTGACCCTTCTCATATCATTCCTCACCAAGAGATGCAAGTTCAAGCTGACATGACGTATGAGGAGCTCCCCGCAAAAATCCTTGATTGGACTGACAAGGTTTTGCGTAATAAGAGGATTATGGTGAAGGTGCAGTGGTAACACCACACTCTAGAAGATGAGACTTGGGAGTTGGAGAGCGAGATGAGAGAGAAGTTCTAAGAACTATTCATGACAAATTTGGGAGACCAAATTTCCTAAAGTAGGGGGAATGTAACACCCCAAAAACCTTCATGCTTAATTTTTAACGTGAACTCCTATTTATTTAAACCCTAAGGCCATTTAAAACTCCTTATTATTTCGTATTAATTTCATATTTTATTTGATTAAATAATTCTTGAAATTAATTATTTTATTTTATCATAGAAAAATTATATTTTATTTATTATTTAAATCAATTTTAGAGAAAAATGGAGAAAAAAGTTAAAAACTCCTGTGGGAATGCCCGCAGGAAGGATCCTGCCCGTGCGGGCTACGCACGCCGCTCGTGTGTGCGCACTGCAACCAACACAGGATATGTGCACTGTGCACACGTCCCATCTGCGTGAGACGTGAGACACAGTCTGTGCATGCGTCCCATCGCACGTAGACGAGCACAGCTCCATGCACCTTGTGCGCACATCGCCCACACGGTAGGTCTTCGCGCTAGGCCTGCGCACAGATCCCTGAGTGCGGTATGCTTGTGCATGTAGTAGCGTGTGCTGCCTCAGACAGTGGATGCCGCCCCCTAGGCATTGCGTGCTGCCGCCGACTTTTATACCATCCTAGCCAATTATAATTCATAGTGTGAACATACATCTTATATAAACAAATCGACTTAATAGATCATTAGTGCCTAAATTATCAAATTTTTTTATTCAAATCAAAATTTTGCAATATCATTGATACTACCATTATTACAGTTACATAAG